CACTGCAGCCTGTCACCATTTACCAGGCTGGTATTGACACAGGCAGACCTGTGGGCAGTTCAAACAGCCATAAATAATGGATGACAGGAGCACTACCAAGACAAATGTACTGCGGCGGCCCGATGAGCCAATCCCGCTGAGCTAGGCTAACTCCATTTGCATGATAACCAGCAGCCAGTGCGCTGGAGTGGGGGGGAGGGGGGTATTTTTGCAGGAATGACTTCTGAATCATTTATTGAGAATCAAATCTGCGGCTGTGTGGCTGCTCTGGATTAAACAGGTGAGTAGAGGAGTTCAGACACACTGTGGATCAGTCGCTTTTTTTCTCCGTCCAAAAGCTGGTCAGAGGAATGTGGGCCTGTGGGATTTTTCGCCCGGCAGGTAAGCCATCTTAGGCAACTTCTCTCTGCGTCTGTTCTGCCTCAGCTCCTTTTTCTCCTCGTTTTCCTTTAATCTCTTCTCTCTCTTTTTCTCCCTCTTCATTTTTCCTGCTTTCAAGCGAAGCGTCCTGCCCAAAAATAGCTCCGCAACGGTCACGGGGGGGGAGCCGGAAATCTAAATAAAAATCGACTTTTGGCCCTTAAAGCTTGTGTCTCGCAGCACCTCTCCTCCACGGCGCTCTGCCGGAGCTGATCGCCCCCCCCCCCTCAGAAAACGAGATGCGTGGAGCGGAGCAGGGTGCACGAGGAGGGAGACGAGGTCTGAGAGCATCTCCCATCTTGTGATGAAGGGGAGGGAGGCTTGGGGGGGTTGTGGGGGGGGTAGCGTGAGATCGAAGACCAACACTCCCCTCCTGTGGCACTGTCAGAGAGCTGCACATCCCAAACACAGCCATACTGACACACAGATCCAGACTGGAAGGGGTTTCTCTGCGCATGCACACACACGCACACACACACACACACACACACACACACACAAACACACACGCAGCTCAGTTTGCTCTGCTGCTTGGAGGGATATAACAAAATAAGTCAAGCTACCCCGCACACAGAAGGCACTCATTACTGCGAGCAGTACGCATGGACAGACACTTAGCACCGGGAGGGGGAGGGGGGGGCAGAGAAAACGAGAGAAGGATAAAGAGGGAGGACGTGTGAGGGGATACGAACTGCCGTGTGGAGCTTAGCTCAAAGCGGGTGATTGCATAATTTCTCTCCAATTTCTGAGGATCAAGGCTTTGAAAGAGAAAACTTAAGTCTCGACCGGCTCCTCTTCCACAGACATCAGTTCTGAGCTGCTGGAGGACAGGAACATCAGAGCTTATCTATACACTGATATACTTGTCCAATTTTCCTATTAGAGTAAATAAATGAGAATAGCGAGGATTGATCCTTCATTAAAAAATATGTATATGAATATTCCTACTTTTAGTTTGGACACATCAACAAACACCGGAGCGGCCCGCTGACCGGAAACTAACATCCGTCCATCTGGGAGTCAAGGGGTCTGAACATTCTTTTTTTAGTATTTTTTATTGTTATTATTGAATCAGAGAATTGCAAGCAAACGATAATCTTACCTGACTGTGAGGTGGGTATCCATGGAAACCGGGGTTTAAAGGCTCATTGTTCTGCAAGAGACAACAGGAGGGATGACAGAAGTGTGAGTGGCTGTGCTTTGTTTATTTATTTATCAATAGTTTTTTTTTTTTTTTTTGGGGGGGGGGGGGGGGGGGGGTTTACATGTGCCGCAAGGGCCCAAGAAAAATTAAAGGCACAGCAAGTGTCAACAAAATCAACACAACAAGCAGGCAGCTACACACGCAGGTAGTACTTCTGTGATATTCACTCTCACAGCCTGTTTTCAGGAGATAAAAACTCTGTCCTTTGCCAGACAAAGCCACGTTCACGCACATGCAGGAGGGCTGGAGGTCTGAGCGGGGCCCAGAGCTGCAAACTTTCAGCCGGCCGCACTTGCAACGGCGGACCCCCCCCCCCCCCCCCGCCGGCCCCCGCTCCAAATCCACTGTTGTGACTAATTGCTCTGTAATTACTCTTAATTAGATTATTTCTGTCTCCCTCACTCTTTTCTCCGCAACTGCTAGTTTTCCACCCCGAGATGAGGAGGAGGAGGGGGAAAGAGAGGCCAGAAAGACGGGGACGGGTGGGGAAGGGGGGAGCGGAGGGGGAGCAGGTGGGTGGGGGGGGCTGGGACAATGGGCAAAGTTAACCAAACGATGATATTTTGACAGCGGCAATGACTCCGGCGCTGGCTCGCCTCGCAGAGAAAACAGGACCGCCTGGTGAGGCTCACGCCTCTGCTCTCCATAAGGAGCCGAGGCCTGAGCAGGGAGGGGAGGGGGGGGGGGACCGGGGGTTAGGTGAGGGGGTCTAAAGGGATAACAGAAAGAAGCATGTATGTGTGTGTGTGTGTGTGTGTGTGTGTGTGTATTAGTGCGCCCCGGAGCGCACAGAGTCTGTGGTCTTTAGAAATGCTGATGATCTAATTATGTTTTAATCAGGGAACGTTTCAAAAATCGCTTCCTCCCGGCTCTGATGGGCTGCCTCCGTTCAGCCAGCAGCTTTGGTGTGGGCTGTGGAGCACTCGCGACCGTGAGGACAGGCGGATTTGGCTTCTGGAGGGTGTCAGAGCGGCGTTAACCTCGTAGCCCCGACCTCAAGCCGCGTGCTGCGGGACTCACTTCCTAGCAGCACTCATGTGGCCAACCGGGGGGGGGGGG